CATCAGGCCACCGGCCGAGCTGGTCAGTTTTTTTAGCATGGGGTGGCCGCAATGGCGGACAGAACCGGTGAATCCGGCTCCGCGCGCCACATTACGACCTGGCCCTCTTGGCACACGCTAGGATTTACACAACTAGGGGGTAAGAAGGAGCCATCACCGCCTGACTCCCAGTCCGCTGATCAGCCATTTAAAACGCAAGGCACACTGAACTGGTGGTGTGGCCCAGTTATAGCGCCATCTGGCAGTTTTCCAAGCCACGGCTTGCATCAAACAGGTAGTAGAGGAGCTACGTGCGGAAGGAGCTAAGAAGCGGATTTAGAGTTAGCCTACTGTGCTAACATATTTACTTACATACTTACAAGCGTACCTAAAGTCAACTGTGGGAATTACAGTGACCTACGTTTGCTTACAATGCTGGTTTAGGCTACGGCAAATGAGGTTAATTGTAGAATGACTATAGGTCCATTTGCTAAAAAAAGGACGGATATATGTATAGGCTGCTGGGCGTGAAGTTATTAGTTAGCAACACGTATTTAAGTAGTTTAGATTTTTGTCCGGGCAATATACCCATGCCTTTAACCTTCTGTCCCCAAGGTTCTTCGTGCAAATGGACCAACGCACATTGTTTTCTTCGTCATTGTCATCTTCTTGGGCTCCTTCTATCTACTTAACGTAATCTTGGCCATTGTCTCAATGTCCTACGAGCAGGTTTACCAACGCGATCTGGCCGACGACGAAGAAATTGCAACGGCACTATCAGTAGGTCTAGCAGGTCTTGGTGCCTTTTTTATAATATTGCTCCTAGCTCCTCCTAATTGCTGTTATATTTCTCCTCCCACCAAATGGGATGGTTGGCAAGACTGCTGTTAATACAAACGAACATGCGAGTCCCAAGAAGTAATTGAGAAGAAGACGACTCGATCGCTGGGACAATACTTTTATTCGCCTGACGTTTCGAGATCCGTCGCGGATTCGTCATCAGAGACAAATCAGACATAACCGAGAATTACTTGGGTCATGGTACACGGACCCCCAATCCATAAACAAGTGCAACGATTTGCCCAATCCATATTCAGTGCTG